AAAAATCTTCCAACAAAGAGTTCAGTGGTTTATTTACTTATTTGTGAAAAATTGAGAGAAAGTTTTTAAAGATTTTAACTGTGTGTTGCATATCTTGAGACATCACCAAGAAAAAAAAAGTTGCTATTTTTTTTTATATTCTGGATAGTTTCTAAAGTTCTTGTCAGTCCTAAGTATTTTTAACTGATATCTCAAAGCATACTTAGGGTGAAGTTATTACTAGTAACAGTGAATATGAACCAATATTTCAAATAGTCTTATTGTTACTTCTGAGGTTTTTGACTGACTTACTCTCAGATATGGTCAAGTTATTACTTTTACCTTGTTTATGTGAAAGACAGCTCTTCCCAGAAGTAGTACACATGTCAGTTCTGCCCTTTTCTTATTAATAGGAAAAAGCTTTAGCCTCAGTTTATGGTTTCAAAGCTGAAATGTTTTTAATCTAATTTAATTAAAACAAAATAGTATAATATGTAAAACCATTTAAGTGGGCATACTGCAGTATATTACAATATGTTAAAAGGAGCTAACTGCTGTCAGTCCCTTTGTGTGGGAGAACGCCCACTCTCCTCATGGTACTTGGCAATGGAGTATAACTCATGACTGTCTGACATATGGATTAAATATGAGCGTTGGAATCTATCTACTTATTTGCAAAGTCAAATCTATTTGACTATAGAATAGAAAATCTAGTTTCTATTTTTGGACTGGAAATAAGTAAAAATAGAAGTTCTAATATTCTTTTCTCATGCCCTCTGGGGAACCTACACATCACTTAGGAGCCTACTGGTTTCATAGTGTAGGTTGGTGGTTTGTTGCTGTAGTAGACATTGTTTGGCTAGTCCCAGCATTCAGTTCCTTCTTTTTCTGACATAAGACTGATTTTCTTTTGCATCATCCCTATTGGCTTAAGCCTATCAAGACCAGCCCAGCCCCCCAGTCACAGTCATCAGCGTGAGGATGTCAAGAAACTGGATTTAGGCTTTAAAAAACACAAATCCTAAGACTTTTGTAGTAGCTCCCAGAAGAGGCTCTCTCCTTCACCCAGATGGTATGGTCCAAGGGCATGAGGAGGCCAGGACTACACCAGTTTTCCACCCTCAGAGAATAGACTGGAACTCCCAGGAGCCACTGCGTGAAACCCAGGGATGGAATAAGATTGCTTAAGGTAAAGGTGAGAGGTGGCAAGAAACTGGATCCTTGGCGACCTTATTTGAGCTCCTGGATAAAGTCTTTCCTGAAGGGAAACCTCCCCCTGGATTTTTTAGCTATATGGCCAATAATTCCATTTATTTAAGTCAGCTTCTCTATTACCTGTAACCAAAAAAATTCCTCAGTTATAACTGTCAACTCCTTCATGAAGTTTGTTTTGTTGTTATCGCTTGTTCTGCTCTTTGTTTGTTGTAGAGAGTTACACTAACCATTCTATAGCACAGAATTATCAGTACCTGCAAGGACCTTCTATTCAATCGTTCCCTTAGTAGCACACAATGATTATGTATGAGACACTATTAAAGTAACATATATTTACACATTTAATCTGTACAATAACCCTACTTTATGGAATCAGTACTATTGTTATCCCCACTTCACAAGTGAAAAAACGGAGATGCAGAGAGGGTACATAGCTTGCCCAAGGTTACATAGTAAGTAGGTAAGCCAAGATTTATTACCAAGGCAATCTGGCTTCTAAATCTGTGCTCTTAATCAACAATACACCAGAAAGACTGTACTACTCACACATTGTCCAACTGTCTAATTTTTGCCTCTGTGATGATTATAAAATAATATTTTCCACTTAATATATAACCTTGGACAAATTACATTAAACCTCTGTGTCTCAATTTCCTTACCTATAAAATGGAGGTAGTAAAATAATATTGCTTTCATAGGATCATTGGCAGTTTAAATAATACCAGTGATTTTTTGCATCTTTTCTCTACTTGTTGATCATTTGGGATTCCTTTTCTTGGGAACTGCCTATTCATACCCTCTGTCCATTTTTCTCTTGGGGTTCCAGTCTTTTTCTTACTGATTTGTAGGAGTTACATTTATATTGTACTTAGGAGTTCCATGTCAGTTTTAGATATTCAGTAACTCCTTCTAATTTATCATTTCTATGGTGCCCTTGATTAAACAGGAATCTGTAACTTTGATAAAATCAGATCCATTATTTGTGCCTCAAGTGTAGAGAGAATAAAGATAAAACAAACACACAAAAAACTTGTTTATGCCCTAAGCATCTTAAAATCTAGCTGGAGAATCAAGAACAACAATTATGTGAACAAGTGTTAAACATTGCATAACAGTATATTATAAAATGCCAAGTTGTAAGGCTATATAACCAACTGTTAACCTTGGAAAAGTATACAAGTTTTTCTGAGTTTTGGTTTCCTTATTTGGGAAATGGAAGCAATGAAAAAAATGCTTTTCTGTTTGTGGTGATGATTAAATAAAATAAGATGTGTTGAATGACTCTGTAGTACCTAGTACACAGTACCAGCTGCAACTCAGATGCAAAACAGGGTCAATGAAATAATGGCTACCATTTATAGAGGTCTACAACTTGCCAGACACTTTCTAGAACCTACCACATTTACATTTCACAATCCTCTGCAAGACATTATCATTGCTATCTGTCAGATGCAGAAACCTAGGTTCAGAGAGTTTAAGTAATTTGATGAAGGTCACACAGCTAGTAAGTGGTAGTGATGACCACACTGAAAGCCAGGTTTGTTAGACTTTAAACCTCATGTCCACTATGGCCAAGTTATTGTCAGAAATGGTGCTAGAGAAGCAAAGAAACTTCACTTGGGTCCTGGGGAGAGAAAGACAGACTTTGACTTTGAATAGACACAAGGAGAAAGAGAGGAAAGGAGATCATGCCAGATTCCGAGGGGGTGCAGTTGATGTGTGAGGGATAAAAAGTATTTTGAGTTATTAGAGGGCAGGAGCAAAACCTTACACATCACATTTGCCTTCAGTCCTAGCACAGAGACTGGAGCAGAGGGCTGGGAGGACATCTATTCCCTACCTCTCTTTTTTCCATATCAAGGGAGCAGAATGAGTTGTCTGACTGGTGAGCTTGAAAGAGGAACTAAATATGTGTCGCTCTGACCCCTCAAGTTTGGGGAGCTCGTCTGCCCTAGAAATCATGTGTTTTCTGCTTTTCCAAAGACTGCAAAACTGCAGTCAATTTTATAAGAGCAGATTTTCACAAAAGGGGTCCCTCTGCATCTCCAGGCTTCTATCAGTCATAAGGGAGTTGGGGGGCAATTCTAGCTTCCCAATGTTACACAGCAAATTGTCCAACCCCTCTTGGGACTGCCAGGTACTATGAGATCCATTTAACATGTCTTATTTTATTTAATTCTGGGGCAAAGTACATGCAGATCCATTGTCCTCCCCGATCCAAGCCATGGCCACCCTTCCAGTGCCTGCCCCCAGGACAAACCTGAGATTTTTCCTTTGGTGAGTCTGACTCTAATGGCTATCTCAATGAATTGCGAACCCGCATGGGGAACATGGGTGCTATCTGAAACCCCCTAGAATCACAACAGTAAGCAATCAAGAAACCGATTCTTATGAAAAGTTCAGAGGTCAGTGACAATACTGGCCTGATTTGAGCAAAAGGACTGTATTAAGTAGCTGAAGTACAGTAACATAAATAGGTTGGCCCCAGTGATGGGAGCCTTTCAGGAAAGGGCGAGAGTGAATGCGATGTGGAAGAAGAGTGCTAAAAGTTTCTGAGGAGAGGAAGAGCCTGAGGAGAATAGTTTAAATCAGGTAGTGAAAACACTGCAACGGGTTGCAGTGGAGACTAGGGGAGGAGAGTCTGGAGCCAGAAAGCAACCAGAGGTGGTTTCCAGAATTCCCGAACGAGGGAGGATGAAGGTCTGGCCCAGGGAAGTGGAAATGTGAATGGCAGTGAAGAGATGCATGTGAGATCTTGAAGGGAAAACTGCCAGCACACGTTGAAACCAGGGTCTAGGGAGTGGGGAAACGTTTTGATGGCACTCCACTCCGCTGAAAGAAGTGGGTGAGCAGGCCCTGGAGCTGATGAGAAGGGGGGCTCAGCCTCGGGCATGATAAATCTGTCAGGTGTCAAGGGGATTTGTTTTGGTACCAGGGACACCAGGCACAAGGTAGGAAAGACGCCACAGCCAGGAGTTTGGGGAGTTAACACCTTCAAAGAGGTAGCATACGTTTGAAGGATCTTGGGAAGAAGTTGGTGGAGATGGGAAGCAAGAATAGGGAGAGGACCTGGGAGGGGGGGGGGGGGGGGGTGTTAGGGCACAGGTAATGGGGGGTAAACTGAAGAAAGAAGGGGGACACCACTCTTGGACCAGAGGAAAGGACTGGATGAGGTTGCTGGCAAACGCTGGAGTCAATATCTTCTTAGCAGAGGGGGCCAGCTCCCAGCTCTCCCCCAAGGAAATTGACGGTTGAACCCAAAGCAGTCTTCCCCTGGCTGGCTAGTCTCCCGGCTTCTGCACCCACTTCCTCACACTCTGTCTGCCCTGACGCCCTGGTCCCTGGGCCGTGAGGGGGGTCCCTCTGCACCTCCAGCCCTCTTTCTATCAGTCGTGGGGGGCGGCTCCAGCTCCCCAGGCCGCAGGGAGCCCTTTCCTGCACACTGCCGCCCCAGACCCGGCCGGGAGCCCCCTGCAGCACCGCCCACCTGGCCATCGCCGCAGCCCGCGCCCACGGCCCGCCAGAGCTGCAGCTAGCCAGAGGGCCCTCCCGGGGGTGGGGTTTCGGCCCCCCTTCCCTCTCCGCCTTTGTTGCAGCGCCCCCCGGACACCCCCTCTCTGCCTCTGCCTCTGCCTCCAGGTCCTGGCGGCCTGAAGAGAGAGGGGTTTGTTCGGGCGGTGCCAGGACGCACGAGGGATCCCCAGAGCGAGGGGCGGGGAGGACTGAGCGGAGCCGCGAGCCGCGGGGGCCGCTGCTGCAGAAGGGGAGGAGAATGGGGAGGAGCTGGGGGCCAGGCAGTCGGGGAAGGAGGGGTCTTAAGGGGCGGTGAGCGCAGGTCGGATTTCCTCGGAGGCTGCCGAGCGGCGAAGCTCCCACCTTCCCTCAGAGCTCGCTGCGGCCGCCCTGCCCCGCGCCCTCAGGAGACCGGGACCGAACCATGGTGAGAGCTGGACGCGCGGCGCGGGGCGCGGTGGTCCAACCCCTTCGGGCGGACGAGGGTGACCGGGCGGAGGGGGCGAGTCCACGGGACCCCGCGAAGTTTCCCGGGTGGGCGCGGGGCCCGGCGCCTTCAGTCTCCTTCTTCCCTCTTCCGCAGATGTGGACACGCTGGCTCGCGCTCGCGCTGGTGGCGGTCGCCTGGGTCCACGCCGAGGTAGGTGAGCGGACGAGGAGGTCCGAACTCGGGCTCCGGGGCCACTTGGGTGTGCGCGCCGGCCGGGCGAGGAGTGCGTCCTGGGGATGTTCTCTCGGGGTGGGACTGGGAGTTTCCATGCGTGGGGCGAGGGGGCGCTCCGAGCAGAAATGCTACTTGTGAAACTTAAACCTCCAAATCAGGAAAAGTAGTTTGGGCCATAAGCGGGAGCCCCACCACGGTAATATGGAGGGAGAGTGAGGAGGGGGAAAGAGGACGAGCTGGGCGGATTGGAACGGAGGCGGCGACGAGAGAAGCCCCTGAGTTCAAAAAGGCGACTTTGAGTTCTTTCCTTAACTTAAGAGGAAATTAAAGAATAGTTGGGGGCTTTTTCCTTCCAAGGCTAACTCCTCGGGGAAAGGGGAGGGGAGAGATTCTCCTTTAGGGCGGAATGCTTTTTTCTTTTTTTATAAAGTAAGATTGTGATTCCCAGCCTTTTTTTTTTTTTCTTTCTTTGTAAAGTGCCCTCGGATTTTGTGTTAATATCAGGGCCATAACAGTCTTTTAAAAGCTCAATTTCCCCTTAATCCAGCGTTGCGCAAGAGTAAGAGATCCGTTGCTCTGCTCTTTGGGGGCTCCACGTTTCCAGTCAAACTATTTCAGCGCTTTTTTGGTAATGTTTTCCTTTCAACTCCAGTGACCTTCCTGAGACACTACAAACAAACCAACAAACCCTTCACTCACAAGCCCCTCCATTAACTCAAAGGTTTATGGACAGAAAATAAACAATTCCAAATTCCCTGGGCTCTAGTCTCCAGAAGAGTGAGGTCAGAAACCAAACATTTGATAATTATGGCAGGAAATGTGGAAGGAATTAAAAAGCATGAGGGAGAAGAAATGGAATGTACATTACAAAAGAAATAGCTCCCTGGTGGGTGGTTATTCCCCCTCTTTGAATTTTTTCTTCCAGTTACAGTTTAGCCCCACCCTTTGCATCACAGTTTGACTCTGCCCAGCAAAAAAAAATCATAAAAGCATACAAGGTCTTCATGAGTTAAAAAAAAAAAAAATACACATATATTACTCTCACTTAATTCATACATAAACTCTCACTTAATTCATTATTGTGTTATTGGTTGCACTGGAAACACAAGCTCACAATGAAATTTAAAAACTAGCTAATATTTACTGGATATCTACTTTGTGTCATAATGAAACCCCATTTTAATGATGGGGAAACTGAGTCAGAGGTTATGTATTTTATCTAGTGCCCTAAGCTGTTACATGGTAGGGATAGGGATATGAACCCAAACAGTCTGGCATCATACCCCCAGTTCTTAACCACTACCCCACAGAAGGAGTTCACATTTGGGGCATTTCTTACATAGCAGACATTGTACTGCATGTGTCATTTCTTTTAAATCTTCACCAACCTTATGAGGTCAGTTTTTTTATCCCCATTTTACAGAAGAGGAAACACATTTAGGAGGTTAGATAACATGCCCAGGGTCACACAGCTAATCAGTTCTGAAGAAGGATCTGAATCCAGCTCCCTCAGTGTTTGGGGCCCATCTTGAACTCCAGATCTGCTTCTCATGCATTTTGTTTTCCAGGGTTTGAATTTGAGGGAGGATCGCTCTTCACTGGCTAATTTAGCTCTGGCTAGGGAACACCCTTCCATTCCTGCTGTGGCCCTCAAAAGGCAGCTGCAGTCCAATGATGGATGAGGTGAATCCCTGGTTGGTTTTACGGCAGGCTTAGGAATTGCCAGCTAGTGTGTGAAATCACTCAGTGAACTGGAATGCAGATGTGAGGTATGAGGAAGCTGTTGGTTCCCACACCAGGAGACTGAAGGCTGGAGGTCCTGTGACCCAAGGTCCAGGACCTATTCTAGGCAGCCTGCACTATACCCCCCTCCCCCGCTGAATAGCATTGACTAGCATTGCAGGGAAAAGTTTTGTTCTCATAGGAAACTCCCCCAGCAGCAATTTCCTGCTTTGGGTAGAAGACCAGAGAGTTCTCCCACCAAATTCCCAGACAAAATCAAGGTGCCAAGGCATGAAAACTGAGAGAGTTGGTGCAGAAAGTAGACCCGAACTCAGAGTACCTGAGGAGTAAGGAGGAGTAGGTATGATACTGGTTACATTTCATGCCTCCAGATTATTAAGGATTATCCTTTTTTTTTTTTTTAAGATTTTATGTATTTATTTGAGAGGGCAGGGAGAGTAAGCAGAAGGGAGAGGGAGAGAGAATCTGAAGCAGACCCCATGCCGAGTACAGAGCCTGACTTGGGGCTCCATCCCACCATCACGATATCATGACCTGAACTGAAACCAAGAGTTGGAGACTTGACTGAGCCACCCAGGTGCCCCAAGTGATCTTTTAATCAATCCAGTCTCTTGATGTCTGGTGTGAGTAACATGTGGCAAGTTTTTAATCCATGTTAGCAATTTGTATATTATTTTAAGTCTTTTATAATTGTGCTTGGGATAGAACTTTTTTCCTTACCAGCTATAAGAACGTACAGCAAACAAAGCCAAATAATGATATTTACAGCCTTTATTGACATGAATCCCTGTTAGTAGACCTAAGGGCTAAAGGTGTACAAATACTGTTGAATTTTTTCAAAAAATGAAATTTAAAAAATCAACTTAGTTTTCTTGGTGCTTTTTGGTTTAATACAAGTGCAAGTACTTAACTCAACATATGTGATTTCTTGACAAATCATGTTGCTATTGGAAGGAGCCAAGACTTCAGAATCAGAGGTGTCCCAGGCTTGGGAAGAGGTGGTTGTCATTATTAATGCCTGTCTGTAAATCCTGTTTGGTTAGATTAGGGAAACTATTAACGAATCTCATTAAGGGAAGTGTTCTATTTCACATGTTTTCTATGGTCTCTTACTCACTTGGTACTACTTGCTTTTTGATTGCTTCCTCTCGTTTACTCTCTCTTTTCTTAATACTCTTATCACCAATGTATGTCTTCTGGCAGCCTCCCCCACATTCTGCTTCCTCCACCTGAGCTCACTCTTTGCAGTCCATGCTTGAGAGGGGATGTTGGCGAGGGTGGCACAGGTCTGCTGAAGAGCATATGTTAGCATCTATATGGGTGAGGAATGGGGGCGGGGGGTTGGCAGCAGCTTGAGGGAATGCTTCAACTAACAGTGACAAGGCTACCCCTTTTCTAGATTCTGTTGGGAGGGGGCTGTGCGGACTTGCTCATTCTCCTTCACCCATTCCCCTCCCGCAGAGAACTACTGCAGTTAAGTGAGAGGTGTGGACAGAGGCTAGGAAAGTTGGACAGTCCGTGTGCCCTTGGGTCTCAGTGGGTGGATCCAAGTCCACTCTAACATGGCAGGCTGGAAGGGACCCTGTGGCCCAGCTGCCGGCTTCTGAAAGACAGCCTTGGCGAGCACCCAAGCACACTTCCGCTCTCCCTCAGCGGCCGTATCTGCTAGTGCTCTGATTGCCAGCATCCCAGGTCTATAAAATCACCATGATAAGTCACATGTGCAAGGGAGTGATGCACCAATCAGAACACTCACTCCATTAAGGCATAACTTGACCCATGAACTGTGAGTGCATCACTTCAGATAATAGTAACAATAATAATTACCCAGAGAAATGAGGCGATTATTAGGTCCTTGTCCTGTTGAAGCCAGGTTTCTCATTTATAGCCCATTATCAACGTACAGGTTAATCAACCACTAGTGGGGTTTTATTGGCTGATGTGGGATCTTCTCTATATCCTTCAGAATTATTCTAATGGTGGATTCATGGAGGGCCAGAGTCTGACCCACTTTCTCTGACTCCTCCTTAGAGCCGCAACAGAACTAGGATTCTAATATTCATCTTGTACATTAACCTCTAAAATAATATCTTGTTTATCCATTCACAAATAAACTACTTGCTGTGATTCTGAAGACCATTATTGGAAATCAGAATGTTAAAACATAGTGGGGCTCTGCTGAATAAGCAGAATGGAAGGGCAAGCACCCTGCACACTGAGGCCCGGCCACTGAAGCTGTCTTTAGAAAAAGGACATGTGACAGTTCCCACGCAAGACTCCGGATGGAGTGATGGAAAGCAGGAGTCAGTTCCCAACCTCAAAGGAGCTAGCTGGGAAGGAGCGGTGAGGTGGCAATCAGTGGGCATGTGGCTGCGATGGATGCAATGTCCTGGAGAAGAAAATAAAGTGTTCAAAGTCAGTGGGTCAGAAAGATGTTTTTCTAGGAAAACAGAGAACATGATGAACTGTAAATACCAGTGGTCACACACCATGAATTGAAAATGTCAGTGTCCTTTTCCTACTCCTCTTCAAATAACTGCACATCAAGATAAAATTCCTAATAGCCATAAACAGAATGAATGTAATGACACCAGATATTATAGGATTGAAAAAACCTTATACTTAGATGGATTAATTTTGTAAGCCAGGTGGTTAATGTCATGCAGGTCACTGCAAAATTTTCTCTAAGGTTGCTGTCTTCTGGTGCCTGTGACTTGGGCGTGGGGTGCTTTCTGGGGGAGCGAGTCATTACCAGCACAGGCCTTCTCTTCACAGAGCCCATCAGGCAGTACTCCTGCCACGGTCTGAGCATGCCCTGCACACAGGGCAGACATGGTCTCTGCCCTCAGGTTGCTTTCAGTCTAAAGATGGGCCAGGTGCTTTAAACTGTGGCAGCTATAATATTGTTATACCTACAAGATGAACAAGTGTCTTTATAATTGTAATTATTGCTCTTGTGTTTTACATTAATGTAGGGCTTCCCTGGTTTTTAAAGTTTTGTGGGGTTTTTTGTTTGTTTGTTTAACATCAGTATAATGCACAAATCCTTAAGGTACAGCTTGATGAATTTTACAGATAGATACATCCAAGTAGCCACCACCCAATCAAGAGTGAGGGAATAGGTGCAGAAAGCAGGCTGTGAACTCAAGGTATGTGGAAACAGTTACGATGAAAAGAGTGACGGGTAGATATGATCAGTTACATTTTATCATTCATCGTTTAATTAGTCCAGG